TTTTTTTTTAAGTTACAAACAACCAGAGAACAATTGTGCTTACTCGCGAAAATGATCATTTTTTTCTAATTCGTCTTTCTAATCTATTTAGCGCAGCTGTTTTTAAAGTTTATTCAGCTGTTACAAAATCAACTGATATGTCAGTTTTTTTTTTTTTGTTTAAAATCAGTTTTTTTTATCATTAATGATTATTCATTCGAATCTAGTTATTGATATAGTTTTTTGAACGAATTTTACAGATTATTATGCGTTCACAAATATTTATACGTACATATACAGTTATAACGTGTGTATATATATTTGTCAAATATCCTATTAATTTTAAGATCGATAATAATTTAATTAATGAAGTCAATAATAATTTCCCTCGTATAAATGTAATTATTTAAGTTTATTTATTTTTAATTATTTAACCTTTTTTTTTAAATTATTTCGACAATCTTTTTATTCAAGGAATTAGAATTTTCACTAGAAAATTCCCCAAAGTAACGAAATAATCCTCTTTTACAAAATCGTTCATAAATCAAGCGACAATCGACTCTGAAATGTATTATCGGCCACCCACGTAGTTGCAGCTTTGCGTGGGGTAAATTATATATACCATTTTGTTGGCCACTAAGAAATGCAAGCAATAACATCTTAAAAATGATAACTTGAAAAGACATTCAATTATATTTCATTATATTTAATTTACAAATTTTTCCCATCTACATAAGAATTCTAAGACTTATTTAGCTGTTTTATGCAACTAAATACACTTTAAAGCATTAATTTTTTACTTTATGGTATTTTCATATACCAACATTATATATACCAACATTAATTATTTATTGTTATAACATAATCTCTGAAGAGAATTAAAAAAATCAGTGTTGAAACTGAACTTCTTAATAAAGAAAGATTTGATATGAATATATGTAGAAATCATAGATCTTACAATTATATTTTATCATATTTAATTTACAAATTTCTCCCATCTACATAAGATTTCTAAGACTTATTTAGCTGTTTTATGCAACTAAATACACTTTAAAACATTAATTTTTTACTTTATGGTATTTTTCATATATATATATACCAACATTAATTATTTATTGTTATAACATAATCTCTGAAGGGAATTAAAAAAAATCAGTGTTGAAACTTCTTAATAAAGAAAGATTTGATATGAATATATATAGAAATCATAGATCTTACAATGAGGAACATGAACTAGGTATATATCACTATAGAGGTTTATCATATTTATTCATTGACATGTACTATTACTGAGATATTTTCAATCGATTTCATGTCTAGAATCACATCTTGTTAAATATTGCTCAATCTTTTTTAACATCTCAATCTCTCTTATAATATAGAAGAAATGAATGCAATATAAAGATGATGTACTAGAAGTCTTTAAACTCTTGGTTCTGCATTGATGCAAGATGTATCAACTACGCGCGAATGTTTCATTATTCATTGCCAAATGTGCCGATGAAGCGCTAGCAATAATCACTTGATTAGATCACGTGTTTCGACTCAGGCTTCCATTAGAGAACAGCAGTCCATTCCCAAGACACGTATTCCATCCGCATCTCTTACTTCCGGTCCCATGTAAGTACCTAGTCATCTCTCA